CCCAGGGGAGGAGTGTAGGAGTGCGAGGCACCGGCAACAGAGGACAGAGGTGATAGCCAAAATACTTAACTGGTAGAGGACAGGCACTGGACCATCAGAATGGACTCCATGTGTAAACAACTAGTACTGATCCAAGCGCTGATACATTCCAGCTGGATCTTAGCCCTGCTTGAGGGGATCCAGACCTGTAGGACAGGATTGGTTGGGTTATTTGAACTCAAGTGTTTCCAGATGGGGCCGGGTGGTTAGGAAGATGCGCAGATACTAACCTCCCAGGGGAATCTCAGCTGCCAGCAGTGGCTCTGGGGGTGTAGCTGGAGAGCCTTGGTGGCTTCTGGGAAGGAAGCACTTCAGTTCTCCCTAAGGAGCTGGAGTGGGCAAGGTAAGTGGTGGCTCCATTAAAGGACAATGCTCAGGCTGCAAAATCCAAATGGAGATGGGCAGTGAGGGGAGAAAGGGCCTCTTTCCCATGCTGACATCCTGGCCTCACACAGCAAACAAACCAAAACAAAAAGTAATGCTACAGAGAGCCTGTGGCTCCCTAACTCTATTGGGGCAAAAGCCTCTTTTAAAATGTTTTAATTTAAAAATACATGCATTTGATATTTTATTTAGCTGATAGTTCAAAATAATCCATACATAAAGAGTATCACCAGATACACAGTGAACCATCTCCCTCTAATGCCTGCCCCATATGCCCAGTCCCCATCTCCCCCAAATAGCTGGTGACTATAACATTTCAGAGATTTTTTTTTTTTTTTTTTTTTTTTTTTTTTGAGACAGGGTCTCACTCTGGTTGCTCAGGCTGGAATGCAGTGGCGCAATCTTGGCTCACTGTCGCCTCAAACTCCTGGGTTCAGGTAATTCTCCCACGTCAGCCTCCTGAGTAGCTGGGACTACAGGTGCGTGCCACCACACTTGGCTAATTTTTGTTCTTCTTGTATTTTTAGTAGAGACAGGGTTTCATCATATTGCCCAGGCTGGTCTTAAACTCCTGGAGTCCACCAGCCTCAGTCTCCCAAAGTACTGCGATTATAGGCATGAACCACCATGCCCAGCGCAGAGATTTTTTAATGCTGTTATGAACAAATATCAATATACATCCCCAATCCCCTCCTTTTAATACAATGTATGCTCTATTCTGCATCATGATTTTTTTCCTTAAAAACGTATTGGAGATCTTTCCAACTTGATACATACAGTTTCCTTCTTTATTTTGTTCTAGCTATGTGGTATTCCATTGTGCAGTAATAGATTTAATCTTCCTTACTGACATACATTTAGGTTGTTTCCAACCTTTTAAAATTACTAACAATACACATGTATTGAATGAATGAGTAGGTGAATGTTTAAATGGAAAACGTTGTGCAGAAACAGTTTCCCATGTCTGCTAATGTATCTGTGGAGTAAATTCCTAGAAGTGAACTTACTGGGTCAAAGATCAAGATCATACGCTCCTGTGATTTTGATAGATACTGCAAAACCGACTTCCATAGAGGTCATGCCCATTCATACTCCTACCTGGCAACGTCTGAGAGTGGCCAAGGCCCCTTAAAAGACAGTTGTGGCAGGGGTGAGATATCCTCTAAGATTGGCCTCTGTTGAAGTTAATAGAACTGAGATTCCCATTTTCTTGCTGTTAGCCGGGGATAAATCTCAGCATCTAGAGGCTACCCTCAGGCCCTAGCCACATGGCCTTCTCATAACATGGCAACAACCTCTGCAAAGCCAGCAGGAGAATCTCCCTGTAGTTGGCCATAACAGTCTTGCATGGCATAACCTAATCAGCAGAATGATTATCCCATCATATCCACAGTTCCTAGCCATATTCAAAGGGAGGGAATGATACAGAGTGTGTATGCTAGCGGGCAGGAATTTGGGGGTTGAAAAAGTTTGTATATTTGTCCCTTCTACATCTCATGTTGAAATGTGACCCTCAGGTCAGGCATGGTGCCTCACGCCTGTAATCCCAGCACTTTGGGAGGCTGAGGCAGGAGGATCACCTGAGCTTGGGAGTTTGAGACCAGCCTGACTAACATGGCGAAACCCCATCTCTACTAAAAATACAAAAATTAGACATGTATGGTGGTGGGCACCTGTAATTCCAGCTACTCAGGGGGCTGAGGCAGGAGAATTGTTTGAACCTGGGAGGTAGAGGTTGCAGTGAGCTGAGATTGTGCCACTGCACTCCAGCCTGGTTGACAGAGTGAGACTCCATCCCCCGTCCAAAAAAAAAAAGTTACTCCCCAGTGTTGGAGGTGGGGCCTAGTGGGGGTGTTTGGGTCATGGGGACAGGATCCCTCATGAATGGCCTCCCCACAGTAATGAGTGAGTTCTTGATGCCCTCCCCACAGTAATGAGTGAGTTCTCGCGATGAGTTCACATGAGAGCTGGTTATTTAGAGGTCTGGCACCTCTTCCCCTTTCTCTTGTTCTCTCTCTTGCCTTATGATACACCTGCTCCCTCTTCATCTTCTGCCGTGAGCAAAAGCTTCCTGAGGCCTCACCAGATGCAGATGCTGGCATCATGCTTCTTGCTGTAAAGCCTGCGGAACCGTGAGCCAAAATAAATCTCTTTTCTTTGTAAATTACCCAGCCTCAGGTGTTCCTTTATAGCAACACAAAGCAGACTAACACAGGAATCATCTGAGAATTTTGCCTGTCACACCTTCATTTGTTCCTGAGCCCAGCTTTGCTCAGCCCTTGGCTTCAGCCTGGAGTCCAGATGACCTGGCTATTGTCCCTAGTTCAGGGTCCTACAAAAGCCATTCCCCATCCTTCTGTGCACCGGCACCTCCCCTATTTGGTCCTTGGCTAGACTCTGCCTCAGTTTCCTAGTTGCTGGTTGTATATCCACACGCTTTTTTCATTTTTTTGAGAGGGAGTCTTGCTGTGTGGTTCAGGCTGAAGTGCCGTGGCACAATTTCAGCTCACTGCAACCTCTGCCTCCTGAGTTCAAGCAATTCTCCTGCCTCAGCCTCCCGAGTAGCTGGAATCACAGGCATGTGCCACTATGCCTGGCTAATTTTTGTATTTTTAGTAAAGATGTGGTTTCGCCGTGTTGGCCAGGCTAGTCTTGAACTCCTGGCCTCAAGAGATCCGCCTGCCTTGACCTCCCAAAGTGCTGGGATTACAGACATGAGCCACCGCACCCGGCTGCACATCCATACTCTTCTAAAGAGCAAATCATTTTACCAGGTAGCTCTCAGCTGCCTACCATAGGCACTGGGTGTTCTTGCCTCTGCTATCCCGTGAAGAATGGTCAGTGTTTCTAGGGTAGGATTCAGAACCTGTAGACAACAATAAGCCCATGAGCACCAACCACACCAGTCACTTCCTGGCGCCTCCTCCCTCTCTTCTGCCTCTGAATACGCAATGATCCATTAATGCCATGTTCTTCATGATCATGTCTTTAAAATGTATTTCCCCTGAATTTTTTTGTCCTCACGCAGTCTTTAGAATCTGAATGGCTACATTATTAGTACAATTCCTTCTCATCTTAAGGTATATTTCCTAAACGTCTTAGATATGCCAACAAGAAATACTGCTTTGAGGAGTCTCTCTTGAAGTGTCTCTCCAGTCCATCCGCTTCCCTCCAGCTCCCACTTTTCCACCAACCTTCCCACCAGACCACCACAACAGGAATTACATAGCATGCCCAGAAAAACCTCCTGCCTTGACAAAATTAGTCTTTTTAGATTTGCAGCCCTATTTGTAATGCTAGAGGTATTTTTCTCCCCAGGAGAAGTATTTTATGAGTCATTGGGAGACCATTATCCCGTAACCACATCTGAGACCACGGATGTTTTCTCATTAAGAACATTTAGATATTTTCAAAATTTACCTAGATAGGACCAGATTATTTTCAGCTGCAAATTCCTTTCTGGTACAGATCAAAACTGTGATTAAAAAAACATATATATATATATGTCATTTATAGTTAAATTACATAAACACACAAATAGTGCACCAAATAAGATTTTGAAGTCCTTTATGTTTGGGGCTAAGAGTCAAACTCCTGTCTTATCTTTATTGATGATGACTGCAAATTTTACAGAGGGTAATGGGGAATAATTTTCCTTAAATCAATTGTAGGTAAATACTAACATCTCTCTATATCAGGTGCTAGGATTGACTTTAAAGAAGGTGGCAAGGCCGGGTGCAGTGGCTCACACCTGTAATCCCAGCACTTTGGGAGGCCGAGGCGGGTGGATCACGAGGTCAAGAGATCGAGACCATCCTCGCCAACATGGTGAAACCCCGTCTCTACTAAAAATACAAAAATTAGCTGGGAATGGTGGCGCACACCTGTAGTCCCAATTACTCAGGAGGCTGAGGCAGAAGAATTGCTTGAACCTGGGAGGTGGAGGGTGCAGTGAGCCAAGATCGCACCACTGCACTCCAGCCTGGCACTTGGCAACCGAGCAAGACTCTGTCTCAAAAAAAAAAAAAAAAAAAAAAAAAGAAAGAAAGAAAGAAAGAAAATGGCAAAGGGTGCACCTCTCTTCCTCTTCTAGTGACTTGTCACCATGCCTGAAGTCACACCATTAGATGCTTTTCCTCTTAGTCTCATAGGGTTTTTGCTCGTTAGGAACCCCTCTACTATATATATATTTTTTTGAGACGGAGTCTCACTCTGTCACCCAGGCTGGAGTGCAGTAGTGCGATCTCCGCTCACTGCAACCTCTACCTCCATGGTTCAAGCGATTCTCCTGCCCCAGCCTTCTGAATAGCTGGGATTACAGGTGCGTGCCACCACGCCCGGCTAATTTTTGTGTTTTTAGTAGAGATGGGGTTTTGCCATGTTGGCCAGGCTGCTCTCGAACTCCTGACCTCAGGTTATCTGCCCGCCCCGGTCTCCTAAAGTGCTGGGATTACAGGCATGAGCTGTCACGCCCAGCCCCCTCTACTACACACACACACACACACACACACACACACACACACACATTTTGGCAGTTTTTACAGTTTCTTTAAACACAAAATGTGCACATGAGCTGCCTATTCATTTTCTTTGCTGCACAGTATGGCGTTGAGGTTGGTGACTCTGGTGGCCAGCTGAGTGGCTCTTTCCATGATGGTTTTGCGGTTCTTGGAGGAAACAGTGTGAGCGATCTCAGCACAGTAAGATTTCTTGCACATCAGCAGCACTTCCAGCAACTTGATTTTGTGGACCAGGAATTTCCGGAAACCACTGGGCAGCATGTGCTTTGTTTTTCTCTTGCTCCCATAACCAACATTGGGCATCAAGATCTGGCCCTTGAACTCTCTACAAACTCTGTTGTCAATATCTCTGGGTTTCTGCCAGTTAGGCTTGATTTTGACATATTGGTGTGATGGGTGCAGAATGAACTTCTTGGTCCTCTTTTTGACAATCTTGAGTTTCATAAGGGGTCTGAGGGCAGCTGTGATGCCAAGGAGGAGATGACTGCCACCTCTGCAGTCAGCACTGAGGAAGAGAGAGTCCCCTCTACTATTTTATTATTTTATTTTTTGAGACAGAGTCTTGCTCCATTGTCCAGGCTGCAATGTAGTGGCACAATCATGGCTCACTACAGCCTCAACCTCCTAGGCTCAAATGATCCTCCTGGGATTATATGTGTGAGCCACCATGCCAGGCCCATTTCTTTTTAAATTAAGCATTTTATCACACCTATAATCCCAGCACTTTGGGAGGCTGAGGCAGGCAGATCACCTGAGGTCAGGAGTTTGAGACCAGCCTGGCCAACATGGTGAAATCCCATCTCTACTGAAAATACAAAAGAAAAAATTAGCTGGGAGTGGTGGCAGGCACCTGTAATCCCAGCTACTCAGAAGGCTGAGGCAGGAGAATCGCTTGAACCCAGGAGGTGGAGGATGCAGTGAGCTGAGATGGCACCACTGCACTCCAGCCTGGGCAACAAGAGCAAAACTCCATCTCAAAATAAAATAAAAATTAATCAATCAAGCATTTTGAGATAATTATAGGTTCACATGCAGGTGTAAGAAAAAGTATAGAGACACTTCCATGTATCCTTTACCCAGTTTCCCCAATGGTAATATCTGGAAAAACTTTAGTACAATAACACAAGCAGGATATTGACGCTATTACATTGTCAATACAGGTACAGAACCTTTCCATCCTCACAAGGATTCCCTCATGTTGCCCTTTATGGGTATACTCCTCTCCCATCCTACCTTGACCCCTGGCAACCACTAATCTGGTATCCACTTCTACGATTTTTGTCAAGAAAAGTTATACAAATGAAATCATGCAGTATATAACTTTTTTCATTCTTTCTTTCTTTCTTTGTTTCTTCTCTTCTCTTTCTTTCTTTCTTTCTCTCTTTTTCTTGCTTTCTCTCTCTCTTTTTTTTTTTTTTTTAGAAACAGGGTCTCATTCTGTCATCCAGGCTGGAGTGCAGTAGCTTTGACCTTCTGGGCTCAAGCAATCTTCTTGTCATTGCCTCCGGAGTATCTGGGGCTACAGTGCACACCAGCATACCTGATTATTTTTAAAAATTTTTGTAGAGATAGGGTCTCACTATATTGCCCAGACTGGTCTTAAAGTCCTGGCTTTAAGCGATTTTCCCACCTCAGCCTCCCAAAATGCTAGGATTACAGGTGTGAGCCACTGTGCCCAGTCAGTTTTTTTTTTTTTTTTTTTTTTTAATTATTGAGTTTTGAGAGTTCTTTATAGATTCCATGTACCAGTCCTTTGTTGGATAATTGATTTACAAGTATTTTCTCCCAATTTGTAGCTTGTCTTTTCATCTTCTTAGTAGAATCTTTACTGGAGGAAAATGTTTAAATTTTGATGAGGTCCAACTTATCAATGTTTCACTTATGACCTGTGCTTTTGGTGTTAAGTCTAAGATCCCTTTGCCTATTCCTGAACCCTGACAATTTTCACCTGTATTATTCTCTAAAGGTTTTCTCATTTCATGTATTACGTTTAAGTTGGTGATCCATTTGAGTTAATTGTTCATAAAGAGTAAGATTTAGGTCAAGTTTTATTTTTTGCCTGTGGATGTCCAATTACTCCAACATCATTTGTTAAGAAATCTTTATTTTCTCCGTTTAGCTGTTTTGCACTTTGTCAAAGACCATTTCACCATACTTGTGTGGGTCTATTTATGGGTTCTGTGTCCTATTCTATTGATTTATGTCTCTTTCCCTCCACCAATAACACAAAGTCCTAATTGCTGTAGCTATATGATAAGTCTTGAAATTTGGTATAGTAATTCCTTCCACTTTATTCTTCTTTAAATTTTGTTTGTATTGAGGCTGGGAGCAGTGGCTCACACCTGTAATCCCAGCACTTTGGGAGGCTGAGGCAGGTGGATCACCTGAAATCAGAAGTTCAAGACCAGCCTGACCAACGTGGTGAAACCCTGTTTCTACTAAATACAAAAAGTTAGCCAGACGTGGCAGCACATGCCTGTAATCCCAGCTACTTGGGAGGCTGAGGCAGGAGAATTGCTTGAACCCAGGAGGTGGAGGTTGTAGTGAGCCGAGATTGTGCCATTGCACTCCAGCCTGGGCAAGAAGAGCGAAACGCCATCTCAAAAAATATATATATTGTTTTCACTAGTCTAGTTCCTTACCTTTCCATACAAATTTCAGAATAGTCTTATGTATATCTGCAAAAATTCTTGCTGGGATTTTGATAGTATTTGCATTAAATCTGTGTATCAATTGATGTACTTACTATGTTGAATCTTCCCATCTGTGAACACAGTATATTTCTCCAGATACTGAAATCTTTTTCTTTCATCAACATTTTTGTAGTTTTCACCATATAAGTCCTATATATGTTTTTTTTCATTTTTATTGTGTTTAAATATACATAAAATTTATCATTTTAACCTTTTTTTTGAGACAAGATCTTGCTCTGTGGCCCAGGATGGAGTGCAGTGGCACGATCACAGCTCACTGCAACCTCTATCTCCTGGGTTCAAGCTATCTTCCCACCTCAGCCAACCTAGTAGCTGGGACCACAGGCACACACCACCACACCCAGCTAATTTTTGTATTTTTTGTAAAGACAAGTTTTTGCCATGTTGCCCAGGCTGGTCTCAAACTCCTGGACTCAAGTGACCCACTTGCCTCAGCCTCCCAAAGTGTTGGGATTACAGGTGTGAGCCACTGCGCCCGGCCTTAACCATTTTTAAGTGTATAGTTCGGTGGCATTAAATACATTCATAACATTGTGCAATCATCATTAACTTCCATCTCCATAATTCTTTTCGTTGTGTGAAACAGAAACATTGTATTAAACACAACTCCCAGCTTCCCGATTCTCCCAGCCCCTGGCAGCTACCATTCTGTCTTTTTCTACAATTTTGACTATTCTAAGTATCTCCTATAAGTAGAATCATATACTATTTATCTTTTTATGGCTGGTTTATTTCACTTAGCATAATGTCTTCAAGGTTCACCCATGTTGTAGCATATGCCAGAATTGCCTTCCTTTTTAAGGCTGAATAATATTTCATTGTAATGGATGGACCACATTTTGCTTACCCATCTATCTGTTGAGGGACGCTTGGATTGCTTCTACATTTTAGCATTTGTGAATAATGCTGCTATAAACATGAGTATATAAATATCTCTTCAGGTTTCAGTTCTTTTGGGTATATACCCAGAAATAAAACTGCTGAATCATATGACAATTCTATTTGTAATTTTTAAAGGAACCACCATGCTGTTTTCCACAGTGACTGTATCATTTTACATTCCCACCAACAGCACATAAGGGCTCCAATTTCTCCACATCCTCACCAACACCTGATTCTTTCTGTTTTTGTTGTTGTTGTTTTGTTTTTTGTTTGTTTGTCTGTTTTTGAGACAGAATTTCCCTCTGTTGCCCAAGCTGGAGTACAGTGGTATGATCTTGGGTAACTGCAACCTCCATCTCCCAGGTTCAAGTGATTCTCCTACCTCTGACTCCTGTGTAGCTGGGACCACAGGCACGTGCCACCATGCCTGGCTAATTTTTGTACTTTTAGTGAGATGGGGTTTCACTATGTTGGACAGGTTGGTCTCGAGCTCCTGACCTCAGGTGATCCACCTGCCTCGACCTCTGAAAGTGCTGGGATTACAGGCGCGAGCTACTGTGCCTGACCTACTTTCTGTTTTTTAAAATAGAAGCCACCCTAATAGGTGTGAGGTGTTATATCATTGTAGTTTTCATTTGCAGTTCTCAAATGATTAATGATATTGAACATCTTTTCATGTGCTTATTGGCCATCTATACATCTTCTTTGGAGAATGTTATGTTTTGTTTTGAATGATTGTAAATGATATTTTGTTTTCAATTGTGAAAATATTCACATGTTCCTTGCCAGTATAGAAAAGTACAATTGATTTTTAATGTTTTTCTTGAACACTGTCTTGGCTGAAGTCATTTGTCAGTTCTAGCAGTTTGTGTGTGTGTGTATTTTTGTAAATCCCGTAGGATTTTCTACATATACTACCATGCCATCAACAAATAGGGACAGTTTGAAAGAATTCTTTCTAATCTGTATTCCTTATATTCCTTTTTCTTGCCTCACTGTGCTGGCTAGAACTTCCAGTACTATGTTGACTAAGAGTAATGAGAGTGGGCATTTCTGGCTTCTTCCCTCTCCTAAGGGGAAGGCATTCAGTCTTTTATCATTAAGTATATTAACTGTAGAGTTTTTGTAGATGCTCTTTATCAAGTTGAAAAAGTTATCCTCTAGGGCCAGGCATGGTGGCTCATGCCTGTAATCCCAGCACTTTCAGAGAGGCTGGGGCGGGTGGATCACAAGGTCAGGAGTTCGAGACCAGTCTGGCCAATATGGTGAAACCCCTGTCTCTACTAAAAATACAAAATAAAAAATGTATTTTTTTTAATGGCACATGCCTATAATCCTAGCTACTCGGGAGGCTGAGGCAGGAGAATTGCTTGAACCCGAGAGGCAGAGGTTGCAGTGAGCTGAGATTGCACCACTGCACTCCAACCTGGGCGACAGAGCAAGACTCTGTCTTAAAAAAAAAAAAAAAAAAAAAAAAAAAAAAAAAAAAAAAAAAAAAAACTCTTCTATTCCTAGTTTGCTAAGAGTTTTATGATTATCATAAATGGGTATTAAAATTTTCCAAATGTTTTTTCTTCATCAATTGATATGGTCATATGAGTTTTCTTCTTTAGCTTAGTAATATGGTGAATTATATTAAGTAGTTTTAGCAAATTGAACCAGGCTTGTACCTCTGGAATAAAGTCTATCATGTTGTATAATTCTTTTTATATATTGTTGAATTTTATTTGCTAATATTAGTTAAGAACTTCTGTATGTATATTGAGGAATTTTGGCCTTTAATATCTTTTTTTTGTGCCGTCTTTTTCTAATTTTTTTTTTTTTAACCAGGATAATAGCTTCACAAAATGAATTGAAAAATGTTC